TTAGGCATAAAATCCAGCAGGTTGATTTTAGGCCAATCACCAGGAGACTGTGAATTCTAGTCTCGCCTTAGGCCTGAAAGCTGACTGGGTGAGTTGGCCCAATCACCAGGCGATGGTGAGTTCTAGTCCTGTCTTAGGTATGAAAGCTGGCCGGGTAACTTTGGGTCAGTCTTTCTCTCTCTCTCTCAATCCAATCCACCTCACAGCGTTGTTGTTATGTGGGGAAAATAAAGAGTATTAGATATATTTCCTGCCTTGAGTTATTTATAAACGAAATAAATGCAGGATTTAAAAAGATCTAAATCTAATCAGTTAGATATAAGTGCTAAAGCAATTGACCAAGAGGCTAACACACAGGTGTTAAATACTGTATTCCAGTGTGCTTGGCTCACATCTTTTTGCTCGCCTGTTTGCACAGGGGTGTGCAAAACTTCTGGCTCAGGGCCATGTTTGTTCTTTCAAAAGTAGGCAAGGAGGTGCCTTCCCACAGCAAGGGCAAATACACCAGAAGGCAGGGTAAAAGCTAAATAAATATGGACAGAATAAATACATTCATTTTCAAAAAAGAGAGTTAACATGATTTCTCTAATGTGTTTAATGATTGTCTCCCTTTGTGCTAAAAAATTGGGAGAAGCCCTGGAGTGATTGTCAAAGCTTTTGAGGGTGTCATATGGTCCTGGATTTTACAGTGGGCTTTTGTGCCTTAAACACACACACACACACACACACACAGCACAGCACAGATATGTTTCTCTGTGAATGAAGGGATAAAGCTGGCATGTGAATTCCAAACAGTGGATCATGTTTGAATACAACTCTTTGTCTTCATCTCAGGGGCCAAGCTCAGCCCTACATGAAATAATTCACGTTATGGTAGGACACACAGTGTGTTGACTCAGCCTTTAGAAAAGGTTTATGCACCCAATGGCTTTGTCTGTTCCTTGCAGCCTTGATTCAGACCAGAAAGACCAGTTAATTGAGGTCATCGAGAAGCTGCTGGCCGATAAGACCACGGTGAGTAAGACTATCTCTGGAGGCGTTGAAGATAAGGGAAGAAAATTGAGAAAGAGGAAAAAAAAAAAAAGAATTTGCAAAACGCTTTCGGAATGGCGTCTCAAGATGGCATTTCTCAACCCTGGTTGGCTTTAAAGATGTGTGGACTTCAACTCCCAGAATTCCACAGCATGCTGAGTAGGGTATTCTGGGAGTTGAAGTCCATACACTTTAACATTGATAGGGTTGAACATCAGAGGTGGTGCTCAGCCGGTTCTGACCGGTTCTGGAGAACCGGTAGTGGAAATTTTGAGTAGTTTGGAGAACTGGTAAATACTGCCTCTGACTGGCCCCGCCCCCTTCTATTCTCCGCCTCCCAAGTCCCGGCTGATTGGCTGGGTCTTCTTTTGTTGCCCTGCAGAGGAGAACGGAGCTGGAAAGCAGGTTAGTGAGGTGGGGAGGGAATGGAGGTTTTACAGTATCCTTCCCCAGCCAGCCAAGCCACGCCCACCAAGCCACGCCCACAGAACCAGTAGTAAAAAAATTAGAATCCCACTACTGTCTCCTTTTGTTGCCCTGCCCAGGAGAACAGAGCTGGAAAGCAGGTTAGTGGGGTGGGGAGGGAATGGGGATTTTGCAGTAGTCTTCCCCTGCCATGCCCACCAAGCCATGCCCGCCATGCCATGCCCACCAAGCCATGCCCACAGGACCGGTAGTAAATCGAATCCCACCACTGTTGAGCATGACTGTTATGGATTAATAGGTTGGGCAAGTGATACTGCTTGGATTATCAGGCGCCGGATAATAATCCATAAAATCTCATGCTTTATTTTTGTGTCCAGGGTGCTACAAGAGTTTAAAGGAGGATGAACTGACAGGGAAAACGAAAAAAGAAATATTTTTTTTAAAAAAAGGAGGGACTGACAATCACTTTGTCTTCTTTAATAGAGAAGAAAACCAAGAAAGAGCCTTCTGACAATTGTCGAAGAAATCTATAAAAAGACGCTTGCTTCTCCGCTCTGAATCCACACAGTCTCCTAATGTGTGAATTCTCTTCTCTGTCTTCTCGTCCAGTTGGTGGCTGGCAGCGTGGTGATGGCGTTCGAGGAAGTCTGCCCTGAGCGCATTGACCTCATTCACAAGAACTACCGCAAACTGTGCAACCTGCTGATTGATGTGGAGGAATGGGGCCAGGTGGTCATTATTAACATGCTCACCCGCTACGCTCGCACCCAGTTCCTCAGCCCCAACCTGAACGTGAGTCAAGGAGCAGGTGACCTATATGACCTATCACAGGGGTGTCAAACTCGATTTCATTGAGGGCCACATCAGGGTTGCGTTTGACCTTAGCGGGCTGGGGGTGGGCGTGGCTGAGGTGGGCGTGGCCAGCTTGACGTCACTCATCGAGGCTCTGTTTTCGGCCGTGATGGCTTCCAGAATAGATTGTGGTGCTTTATCCAAGCACGATTCTCAGAGGCTTCTGTTTAACAAGATTCATTGAGATGGGTTGGAAGTTAGCAAGCCCGTGTTCGAGACCCAAGGGCATCCATGGGGAGGGTGAATTCCCATCCTTTGCTCCAGCTCCTGCTGGGGACATGAAAGGACCTCCCCACACAGGGAACGATGATGTCACCAGCTAACCCTTTTCAACCAGGAAGCACCTCGGCGCTTCTGACATGATGCAATTGAGATGGGAAAGGGTAGTGTGGTGGATTGCAGTCTGGATTCCCTGGAAGGAGGAGCCTCATTCCAGAGGAGTAAAGAGATGGCAACTCTGGTTGGGAGGGGGAAAAAAAGGAGTTAAGAAGCCATCATCAGAGTATATGTACAGAGAACGCCAACAATTGCTTTGGTTTGGCAAGATTTCTATCCGTGGGTGAGGAGAACGATAAAGGAAATTGCTCAGGAGTCATTCCACAGGTCTTTCTTGGTTCTTGGGACCTGACAGGCAGGGACAGTACAAGAACCCCAACAAGGGGACCTATTTTCGTCTTAGAATCAATTTATATCTCAGAGGACATTAGAATGGAAATGTTCTGAATCTCTTTTTCAGAGACTTATAGTGCACCGGAGAAAAGGTGATGGAGAAATCAACAACCAGTCATTTACATTCCTTGAATCTTTCTCAATTAAAACATCCAGCCATTATACTGTCAGGGTGACTAGGGGTCAGAGTTATTAGCTGTGAGAACTTGAAGCATCCACATTTCAAGGGCACCATACCTGCTTTTGCGCAAACCTGCCTCCCCCCCTCCCAGGGTCTTGTAATGTTGTTAGAACAGGATGTCCCAGTTCACACCATGCGTTCGACTGGACTGGAACAGAGCTGAATAGTTTGTGATTGCAAGAAGCCCAATTGTCTTTGTATATACTCGGATGAGTCAGGCCATCCCTACTGAACCAACGTGATTTATTTGTTCTTGGAGTGTGGCGTATTGTGCAAAGTAAGCCATTTTGTTTCACATAGATATGGGAACTAAATCAGACGATCGAGTTTATGGCTTAATGAGCCCAACTAAGGAGCGACGTAGAACAGTTTAGAAGTGGCTTGCAGATTGGGGATGTGGGGGGTGGGAAAAGGTCCACGTACTCAACCTCAAAATACCTTTCGTTGTTTTCCGATGGACAGGAATCCCTCCTGGAGGAGAACGCTGAGAAAACCTTCTACGGATCCGAAGAAGAAGATGCCAAAGACGACAAGGCGAAGTCCACACCCTTGGCAAAGCGCAAGCCTTACGTGATGGATCCTGACCACCGCTTACTACTGCGCAACACCAAACCCCTGTTGCAAAGCCGCAATGCTGCAGTGAGCCCTTTTCTTGGGGGTGGGGGGGGGGGGCGTGCCCAGAAAAAGAGGGAGGCCCCCGGCCGGGGGGGGGGGGGGGTGTCACCAAAATGGGTGAAGAAAAGAAGAAAGGGAAATAGACCCCGCGCAAGAGCATTCTCCGTAGTCATGCCAATTGAACTTGACAGTCATGCCATTTTGTGGTTACTCTCAGAAAAGGGGGCAGAGCCAATAGGAAAGGGGTGGAGCTAGCTGGACCCAAGTGAACATAGTAATAGCATTTAGACTTATATACTGCTTCATAGTGCTATTACAACAAACACTTGCTAAGAGGTTTACAGAGTCAGCATCTGTGTCCACAACAATCCGGGTCCTTATTTTGACGACCTCGGAAGGATGGAAGGCTGAGTCAACCTTGAGCCGGTGAGGGTCGAACTTTGGGCAGAGTTAGCCTGCAATACTGCATTCTAACCAGTGGGAGGGAGGGAGGGAGGGAGGGAGGGA